TGATATTACAAGCAGCCCTCCCCGAGTCACTAAGAGACGGGTTCCTTAAAAAGGAACAGGAAGAATGGGGTGAAGTAAGATGTTTAGCCGTGTTTCGTCATGGCTGAGGAAGGGGTGTCAACATCAAAAGTGGGGAGTGCTTGCCCTGGTGGGTGTTCTGTGCCTGAGCAGTGGCCGGCCTTTTGCCCTGAGTGTGGAGGCGGCTGGGCGCACTCACACTCCCCTCCTCCCTGTACTTTGTGTTGCTGCTGAAGTGAATTCTGTCCACACGGATGAGGAAACACTAGGCTAGAGACCCCGGTGGTAGCCCTGGCTCTCCGTGAACTCCCTGGGCGGTGCTGGGCAAGTCACTGTCCCTCCCAGGGCTCCCGCTTCCTCACCTGGGAGACGGGTTGGCCTGGATGGTCTCAAGGTCTCTCTAGCTCCTCATCCCTTTCGTTTTATATCAGCACTTGTGTGAGCTATTTTATTACATTTTTTATTTAGAAAATCTTTTTATTGATTTTTAGAGAGAAGAAGGGAGAGGGATAGAGAGAGAGAGAGCAACATCGATGAGAGAGAAACATCATCAATCAGCTGCCGCCTCCTACCCCCCCCCCCCACCCCACTGGGGATTGAGCCTGCAATGAGGCACGTGCCCTGACTGGTGGTAATTGAACCATGACATCCTGGTTCATGGGTTAATGCTCAACCACTGAGCCACACTGGCTGGGCTACACAGCCATTTAATAGCAAAGTACAGGACTGGAAGCTAAGTTCATGAATTTTTTCCCCATAACAAAATTCTGTTTTTTGCTAGGCATCTGGTAATTGAGAATTTCTTGGGAAACAGCACACAGCCTAAGGAGCAGAGAACAACATTCTGCTAAAAAGTGTTCTTAGAGTCATTTTCATATAGTTCAGAGTATTGACTATTCTTCAGTAAATATTCACTGGGCACCTATTCAATGGCAGGCTCTATGCTAAAAGCTGGGAAACAGTGGCGAACAGTAACAGACATGTTCCTTACTTTGGAACTTTCTGTTTAGGGAAGTGAATGGCATTAATTAAAAACTCATGCAGATGTGTAATATCATACTTGTAAATGTTAAAAAGAAGAACAGTGTATTGGTAAAAGGGCCTATGGTGACTGGATTTGCCCGTCAGGGAGGTCAGGGATTTTTTTTTGTAAAGAAGTACGGATTGAACTGAAATCTAAAGGGACAAGTTAGGAGTTAAATGAGAAGTAGAGGTAGTGCCAGGTGAGACAATGAACAGCGTGTGTCAAGGCCCCTCGGGGAATAGACCATGGGCCTCGAGAACCAAGGACAGGTCAAAGTATGTTTGGAGCACAAGGAGAGGGCCTTAGGGTAGTGCAAGGCTTAAGTAAGAAGTTGAAAGCAGACCGGTTTGCTATTACTGGTATTTGCCCTGTCATTCGAAGCTTTTAGATTATCTTTCACATAAGATAGATCATAAGTAGAAGGGACTAAACTGAGGACTTGCTTATTTTTTTTTCCTACTAGACAGGACACCTTCATGGAAAACTACTTCACTAGCCAACGAGACAACATCTTCCGAAATGTGGAGGTTCTGATTTATGTCTTTGATGTGGAGAGCCGAGAACTGGAAAAGGACATGCACTATTACCAGTCATGCCTGGAGGCCATTCTGCAGAACTCTCCAGATGCCAAAATCTTTTGCTTGGTGCACAAGATGGATCTGGTACAGGAGGATCAGCGGGATCTGGTAAGAAACAGAAAGGGTGCTACAGGACATGGTGGACATGCTTTGCAAACTTCTTTTGTAGAAGTATAGGGACATTTGTGCCATCCTTTTTTTTCAGGGCAAAAATCTCCACCTAAGCTTTCAAAATAAAGTTTTGTCATTTGTGTGTGTGTACACACACACACACACACACACACACACACACACACACACACAATTCTCACCCAAGGACATTTTTCCATTGATTTTTTTAGAGAGAGTGGAAGAGAGAGGAAAAAACAGAGAAGTATTGATGTGAGAAAAACACATAGATTGGTTGCCTCCTGCACACGCCCTGACCGGGGCGAGGGCTGGGGAGGAGCCTGCAACCGAGTTACATGCCCTTGCCCAGAATCAAACCTGGGCAGGCCGATGCTCTATCCACTGAGCCAAACCGGCTAGGGCAGTGGTCGGCAAACTGCAGCTCGGCAAACCGCAGCTCATGAGCCACATGTGGCTCTTTGGCCCCTTGAGCGTGGCTCTTCCACAAAATACCGGCTCTCCCACAAAACACCGACTTCTGCGCATGGGCCACGAAGTTTCAATCGCACTGTACGTGTGTGCCCGCACGTGGTATTTTGTGGAAGAGCCACACACAAGGGGCCAAAGAGCCGCATGTGGCTCGAGAGCCGTGGTTTGCCGACCACGGGGCTAGGGAATTTGTTTTTTTTAAACACTCATAAACAAATTTTCCCTGGTAAGGGAAAGATAGTATTCATTTTTTTTTTTTTTTAAATATATTTTTTATTGATTTTTTTACAGAGAGGAAGGGAGAGAGATAGAGAGTTAGAAACATCGATGAGAGAGAAACATCAATCAGCTGCTTCCTGCACACTCCCTACTGGGGATGTTCCCGCAACCAAGGTACATGCCCTTGACCGGAATCGAACCTGGGACCTTTCAGTCCGAAGGCCGACGCTCTATCCACTGAGCCAAACCGGTTTCGGCGATAGTATTCATTTAATAAATAACTTTCAGATTTAGGTAAGGAACCTGACCATGTAATATCACTAAACAGCCTTTTTATATTTTTTCTCTTTCTTCTATCCCTTTTTAAAGTTAAATTTATTGGGGTGACACTGGTTAATATGGTCATATAGGTTTTAGGTGTGGGTTTCTATGTTATAGGATCTGTATATTGCCCTGTGTGCCCACCACCCAAAGTCAAATCTTCTCCAATCACCATATATTAGGACCCTTTTCATGCTCCACCCCTTTCTCTCTGGCAACCAACACACTTCTGTTTGTGTTTAGGAGTTACAGTTTTATATCCCACATATAAGTGAAATTATATGGTTCTTAGCTTTTTCCTGAGAAAAAAGAAGGAAGCTTGAGGTATAATACTACCTCACTTCAAATTATACTACAGAGCTATGATAATCAAAACAGCATGGTATTGCCCAGCTGGCATGGATCAGTGGTTGAGTGTCTACCTATGAACCAGGAGGTCACGGTTTGATGCCTGGGTTTCGGGCTCAATCCCCAGTGGGGGGGCGGGGCATGTAGGAGGCAGCTGATCAATGATTCTCTCTCATCAGTGATGTTTCTATCTCTCTCTCCCTCTCTCTTCCTCTCTGAAATAAAATTTTTAAAAAATCAAACAAACAAAATTCCACCGCATGGTATTGGAGGAGAAACAGACACAGATCAATGGAACAGAATAGAGAGCCCAGCTATAAAACCACATGTATATGGGCAGATAATTTGAGACAAAGGAGCCGGAAACACACAGTGGAGTAAAGATAGTCTCTTCAATAAATGGTGCTGGGAAAACGGAAGCCACATGCAAAAGAATGAAGCTACATTACAGTTTATATATTTATAAAATATGTATGCTGCCCCTGTTTACTGTCCTCAGAGCAGACAGTTACTGTCAAGGCTAGAAGACTCACCAGGGGTGAAATGAAAGATTACAACTGTCATTAGGTTGACTTAGGAAACTGATATGCATCTGTTCAAGTGCCAGTCACACTTGTTAGGCACAATGCTAAGTCCCTTAATTGCACTGATACAGTATATTTCTCTTCTTTTCTAGCATGGGGATTATTAGTACACATAAATTTAAACCAGAAACCACACAGTAGAAAGGGCAAACTCCCAGCTAGCTATGAGACACCCCCCCCCCAAGATTGGCACATCATAAATATAGTCTAGCTTTAGTTTGTCCAATCCTATATAATAAAAGGCTAATATGCAAAATGTCCCCTTGACCAGGAGTTCGACCAGGGGTCGGGGCTGGCCAGCCAACTGCCTGTGACCCTTTCTTCCCTCCCCCCTGCCCCCGGCCGGGGCAGGCTGACCGGACCCCACCCATGCATGAATTCGTGCACCGGGCCTCTAGTATAAAATAAGAGGATTGGATTTTAAAGTCTAAGCTGAAAGAAAAGATCTGTTTCCAAGGATGAACCTGAGGAAAGTTTTAGAATATGTCATTGGTACAGAATACAGTCCCTCCTTGGGTTGGAGCCTAGGGGTCTAAGGATACCGTTTATTTAACTAAATTATTTTTTTAATAATAGCTGTGGTCAGGAATACTTTTTTCCCCATAACTAGTTATATGGTTGCCTCCAGTGTTCCAGTTTTGGGGTATGTTTTGGTGTTTCTAGGTTAGCTTATAGGCTTTCAAAAACCATTAGACAGAGTTCCGTATTTGATTTTGAGAACTACTTTGAGTATCTAATCTTTTTATTCCCTTCTCTCCAGGCCCTTGACTGGGACCCAACCAGGGACCCTTCAGTCTGCCGGCTGACACTATCCACTGAGCCAAACCAGCTAGGGCAACTTACTGTTTTCTGAATGCTTATATAGATATCTCCAAAGATACATTGCTGTTGTTTGTGGGATTTGAAACTTAAGTAAGAAAGTTATATTCTGTTTCATTAAAGATTCAGTCAGACTTGGAAATTTTGAAGTAAAAATGGCTAGGGTGCCTCCCTAAGTATCAGTTTCAAGTAAGATGGATGTTTCTCTCTATGTATTAGTGAGGGAACCTTAAAGAAACAGAACCAATAATAAGTGTGTGTGTGTTATGTGTGTGTGTGTAGATAGATAGATATAATAGAGGGAAGGGGTAGAGGTTGATTGATGGATTTTAAGGAATTAACTCATACAATTGTAGAGACTGGCAGTCTGCAGTCTTCAGGGCAGGCCTATAGGTTAAAGAGTAGATGTTGTTGCTTGAGTCAGAAGGCAGCCTAGAGGCAGGATTCCCTCTTAAGGCCTTCAACTGATTGCATCAAGCCCACCCACATCAAGGAGGGGAATCTGCTTTAAGTCTACTGATTTAATTATTAATCTCATCGTACCTTCACAGCAACATCTAAACTGATCTTTGACCAAAGGTCTGGGTACCATGGCCTAGCCAAATGAATACATAAAATTAACCAGGTAGGGTCACAGGTAGGGTCACTTTTAGACCTGACCTGAAAACATTTCGGCCAGGATGTCTCTGAAGTACTGTACACATTGAAAAATCCCTCTGAGGAAATGCTTTCTGTTTAAATATGCAGAAATAATTATATCTCAGCTTTTGCAAAGAAAGAGGAGAGCTATATATCCTGATCAGTGTGTTGGACTTTCTCATTCAGATTTTTAAAGAGCGAGAAGAAGATCTGAGGCGTTTGTCTCGCCCACTGGAATGTTCTTGCTTCCGGACATCTATCTGGGATGAAACCCTCTATAAGGTGTGTATGTTTCTCCGAGTTCCCTCATGTTAGAGCATAAAAAAAAAGCAAGAAGGGTATTATCACAAAGATTTTAAACTCTTTCATAGCCATCTAAACATGTTGAACTAAAAAAGAAATTATAATAAATTGTTTGAAACATCAAAATTAACCTTAAGAGCTTTTGGGTTTGATCTTAGATTGGGTTGACATGCCTACCAACCACACTGAATTAGCTAGCCAGTTTGGTCATGATTAATTTGATACTGATATTCATGACAGCTAAGGTTTCATTGGCTGTCATCCATTTTGACTTGTTGTGGTCTCAATGCTGATTGGAGCTATGTCTACTATTCGGGTACTTCTACAGGATATGTGCTAGTCTGCCTAAGTTTGGATGGCAGGAGAAGAACAATATTTAAGGGAGAGATTGGCAAAGGGAGACTTAGAATGAGACATGTCTGTGTGCCTAGAATTTGATAGTGTCCATTTTCATGCCAAATGGAGACTAGCATTCTTTTTTCTTAAATGTGTTTTTATTGATTTCAGAGAGGAAGGGAGAGAGAGAGAAACATCAATGATGAGAGAGAATCATGGATCAGCTGCCTCCTGCAGCCCCATGCTGGGGATCAAGCCCACAACCAGGGCATGTGCCCTGACCGGGAAGCGAACCCAGACCTCCTAGTTCATAGGTTGACGCTCAACCACTGAGCCATGCCGGCTGGACGAGACTAGCATTCTTTCAACCAGAAAGATCGTTCCCGCTGCTGGAATGGATACCACACTGCTAGCGGTAGTTGTAGAGGTTACAATAGCCGTGTTATGGGTAAAGCTGAAATTACCTTATTGGCACATAGGTTCCTTAACCCTGCTTCCTCCCTTTCTCCTACTGATCCAGCGATTTGAAAGATTGGCTCCTTGACGCCCTCCTGTGGTCAGACCTTTCCTTCAGACTGCTTCTGGTGTCTGTTGACAAGTTTGACATCCTTCTCTGTCCCTGGTAGCTACAGCCTCAGTATCAACTGCATCCGACAAGTATCTACAACCAGAAGCACAGAAACCTGATTTCCCAAGGAGAAAAAAAACCCAACTGGACTTTAAATATAGCCATTGCTTTATTTTTTTTAACTAATTCATTTTCCCCCCAATATTATGTTGACCCAGCCTCGCTCTATTAACAGATCATTTTTGAGATACCTGTCTAGGAAATACTGTTCTAGATTAATTTGGGCCGAATTTCTCTCAAAGCCTTATTCCCATAGAACAGGTAACCGTGAATAAGGATGGACATGACGCACTGATAAGAACCAGCTGCGGTGTGAAGGATGGCAATACATAACACGACCAAAGACAATTGGCTAATCACAACACTGCTGTGAGTGACAATGTCTCTGCTGTGGTTAGCTTTGGTGTCTTCTCCAAGGTAAATTCAGCAGTGACATTAACACCGACCGGGGAACTTGGAACCTGAAACCCCATGCCTAAGTAATAAAACTAATTGGAGCAGAGACATGGCACTACTATCGCTTGCATAAATGTCGCATAGAGCTAACTTACATTTTTCTATTCCGTTTTATTCTGCAAGCACTCATCACATACCTGCTTGATGCTGTAGGACGCACAAATGACTAAGACCAGGTTCCTGCCCTCTAGTGGGGGAGAAGAACATTACACACCTTGCCAGACAAATTAGAGTAAGATTGAAGGACATATTCTAATGGAGGTTCAAATAAAAGAGCCATAAGAGAATAGAGGGAGGTGTGGTTAATTTCAACTCCTTTCATTAGTCATACGCCTCTAGATGAAGTCAGTTTTAGGCAAACACGCAGTGTACCATTTTAAATTCAATAATTTATACAGCTGAATATAAGCCTTTTGGAATAATAATGCCACTAATTTCTCTTATAATTTCTCTTATATGTTATCCCATTGAGGGGAGGGGCCATTTGTCTTTGTGGCTCTGATATTTTTTTAAAAACTGATATTTAGGTGTATGTTAACTATAGCATCGTTAGGTTCTGATTTTTTAGTATAGTCTGCATCGTTGGATTTAAATATTTGTTGAATGACAGGAGTAGAAGCTTTATAGCCCAATAGGAGATCAGAGTTTTCAACTTTTCCTAAGATAACATGATGGAATTAAGTTATTTTTTATTATCAATAGGAAAAAGTTTCTGCAGCATTTTACAAAAGTGTTTGAAAATTTTAAAAAACTCCAACTGAAGGGTAAATGTCAAATGTTAGCTTTGCTTTCTCATTTTATTTGTTTTATGTCACTGGTTATCAGTATTTGGGACTCAATTATCACCGTGTTTTGCTGTCCGTGTGTCGTAGTGTGCTTACTCATTTGCAGAGGTCTGGGACTGGCTGCCTGTTAGTAATATTCCACCACCTTTCTGTTCTGTTAGGCTTGGTCCAGCATTGTTTATCAACTGATTCCCAATGTTCAGCAGCTAGAAATGAACCTGAGAAATTTTGCTGAAATTATTGAGGCCGATGAAGTGCTTCTATTTGAGAGAGCTACTTTTCTGGTGAGAACTTTCTGCTCTGAAAATATTACTTCACACTTACCTTCTTTTATTCAACAGCAGAGAACACCATGTTGCTACTTTCTGGAAGAACCTTCTTCCCTCTTGTGTTTAAGTTAACATGCACAGCCTTATTTACTAGTATATAGTAGTATTGTCAGTAAGCGACCTGAAAGAAATCCTTTGGTTTGTTACTCTTCAGTAGTTAGAAAAAACTTAGATTTTTGTAGGAATAATCTAAAGTGGCGGTCGCTAACCTTTCGGACCTCACAGACCACCCGTGGTCCGTGGACCACTGGTTGGCGACCGCTGCTCCAAAGGTTTCCTTAAACCAATGGTTGCCAACCTTTCGGACCTCTTGGACCACCAGTGGTCCATGGGCCACCAGTTGGTGACCGCTGATATGCAGAGTTTAGATTATATCTGCAAATCATTGCTCATTTGTATTGAAGTATCCCTGTTTCCTATTGAATTTTATTATGAAACTAGAGGCCCGATGCATGAAATTCGTGCAAGGGGCTCGGCCCTCGCAGCCCCGGCTTCGTCGGGCATCTGGTCTAATGAGCATATTACGTTTTTATTATTATAGATGAGGGTTATTTCCCTTTTGGGGAATCTCGCATCCCACCCTTTTCAACAAAAGACTGAGTTGAAAACTTTTAACACGGAAGAGATGTAATGGTCAACTCTGACATAGCTAAGAGTTCACATGGAGAAGCAGAAGGGAAAAGAGGCATCTTGGTATTTTAATTTTTGTTATAAATTCAACTTACCGACTATATTAGAGCCTACTGTGTGTATGGCCCTGAGAGGCAATACAAAAACCAATATATTTATATGTAAAATTTTTATTTTACTTTTTTGAAATTATTTTTTTATTGATTTCAGAGATGAAGGGAGAGAGAAACAGAAACATCAATGATAAGAGAGAATCACTGATTGGCTGCCTCCTGCACGCCCTACACTGGGGATCAAGCCCACAACCTGGGCATGTGCCCTCACCGGGAATCGAACCATGACCTCCTGGTTCATAGGTCGACACTCAACCACTGAGCCACGCCAGCTGGGCATATAAGTAAAATTTTTAAATAACAGTAGCAGAAAGGAATTTGAGATGACACAAAGCACTGCATAAGTAATTGCTGATCAGCTCAGTAAATGTAACTCTTAAGAGCAGTTTACAGTAAGTAATTTGTTTCTGAGTGCTACCAATGCTTGGTGGTTTTAGACACATTTCTTAATCTCTGAGCTTGGTTCCCCTTCCCTAAAATGGAGATAATAGTATCTATCTCATAGGTTCTTGCGAGTGACTCAGTTTTGCTTCCTACTGAAAATTTTTACATCTGTATATTCAGCCTATAGAAAATGCTCGTCTAGGTTTTATTAAAATCTGTAAGTGTGAGGGAAAGTATTCTCAGCTGGCGTGGATGTCCATCCTGAGTAGGTTAATTTATAAATAGTCAATTCTCAGAGGTTATAATCATTTAGTTAACATTTTCAAATATAATACCAAAAGCCACTTAGTTATAAGCTTTATTAAAATTAAATACATTAAGTGTACCTCAAGAACAGCTAAGACTTTTTATATTTTTTTCTTTTTTGATTTGTATTTTTTTAATCAAAGACCATTCTGACAAATATTGAAATAAGATGAACATTTAATGATTAAAGTTAAGTGATAAAGACCAACAAATCAAAATAGATAATACTTAAGTGATCTAATAAAATTATAACCAAACTGTATGGGATGGTTCATCCATAGGGATGTTGAAATTCTGCATAACGTTGGCAGCATATGGGGCTGTGGAAAAGAAACAGTAAGCCAGGTGCCAAGTCTGCCCTGAAAATCAGGAGACTGACAGATGCTGGCCTAGAGGAGTAACAGTGGGTGATATGACTACATTGCATGGATTTAAAGGGCATTACTCTTTTTCATAGGTGATTTCTCACTATCAGTGTAAAGAGCAGCGTGATGCCCACAGATTTGAAAAAATCAGCAACATTATTAAGCAGTTTAAGCTGAGCTGCAGGTAAGAGGTCTTGTGGGATCTATTTACCTCTGGAAAAAATTAATGTTATTTTGTGAGGTTCAAATAACTATAGTGGACTACACTTCTATATCTAGAATAGTTCCTTCAATTGAAAAGAAAGCTAAACTCTAAGGGAGCCTACAGGTGACTGAGGTGAATGAAATTCATTGTCCTTTCATGTAAACTCAAGTGATACAGAAGAAGCATATGAAAAATATCTAAGAGTACCCTTTTGAGATGTTTGCTTCTGTTTGGGAAGAAATAAAAAATGTCCAAGAGAGTTTTGAAAAAGAAGAAAGTAGGATAATTTACCCCACCAAATGCCAAGATTTTCTATGAAACTACAGTAATTAAAATAGGGAGGTACTGATTCAGGAATGGTACAAAATAGAGTCTGGAAATGTCTAATCGTGTTGCCTCAGCTTGGATTAAATACAATTTGAGTCTTAGCGTTGTGACTATAGGCTGATGCAATGGCTGAACATCATAATTTATTAAATATTTAAGAATCAAAATTCTTACCCTGGTAAAACTTTGATACCCAGACAGTAGAATAGGTATGAGTTTATTCCTTTTATGCCTTAGCATAAAAGGCACTTAGGGACTTTTTGGCATGTTTAACGCTAATGTTTTTAAGGAGAAATACAGAATGAAATGCAAATATAATTACCTTGTTTGTTTTCAAAGAGATGAGATCATTTCTTGAATTTCAATGTAACTAAAATTCAAAAGTTAATCTTAGTGATAGAGGAATTTCAACTTTAAAATCTTCTTAAATAAAAGAGAAATCTTTTATAACATGATTTTTAACAGGGATCTAAGTCTAAACCCACTTTCATTTCACAGTCAATATCAAGTCCTAACTCTATTTCTAAGGCACTTTCCAAACTACGATCAATTGAGCATTAGAGTTTCCTTGGAAAACAAAGTGGAGCTAGTGATTAACTGTCTTAATGAAGTGGTCATTTGAGGTATAATGCTATGAAAATGTTTTCCTAAAACATAAAGATTCTTATATTGCTATTATTTTATGTTCTTTGCTCTTTTCTCTCCTATAGCAAGCTGGCTGCTTCTTTCCAGAGCATGGAAGTTAGGAACTCTAACTTTGCTGCTTTCATTGATATCTTTACATCCAACACTTATGTGATGGTTGTGATGTCCGATCCATCCATTCGTAAGTTGAAACTTAGCTAACATTGATTCAAAGCCACATATTCTTTAAACTCATTGCCCTAGAGGTAGGACTTTATTAGATACTGAAAAACTATTTTGTAGTGAGAGGATGGTTTCACAACAGTGTAAATATACTTAAGGCCACTGACCTGTGTACATTTAGAAATAGATAAAATGGTAAATTTTTAAAAGACTTTTTATGGATTTTTTTAGAGAGAGAGGAGGGGAGACAGAAACATTGATGTGAGAGAAACATCAACCGGCTGCCTCCTTCACACACCCTACTGGGGATCAAGCCCAGAACCTGGGCATGTGCCCTAACTGGGAATCAAATTGACAACCTTTTGGTGCAGGGTTGATGTCCAACTAACTGAACCACATGGCCAGGGCTAAATTTCTTGTTGTGTATGTTTTATCACAAAGAAACTATCTTAATACTAGTAATAAATATTTTTTTCTATTTAATAAATGTATATTTTGAAGCTTAAAAATAATTTAGGCTCTAGGGCAGTGATGGTGAACCTTTTGAGCTCGGCGTGTCAGCATTTTGAAAAACCCTAACTTAACTCTGGTGCCGTGTCACATATAGAAATTTTTTGATATTTGCAACCATAGTAAAACAAAGATTTATATTTTTGATATTTATTTTATATATTTAAATGCCATTTAACAAAGAAAAATCAACCAAAAAAATGAGTTCGCTTGTCACCTGCCACGCGTGTCATAGGTTTGCCATCACTGCTCTAGGGTATTATGTTTTGTTCTTGGGAACTTCAAAAATCAAATTACTAAATTGGGATTTTCAAGAAAGGAGAACCCAAATGTATGATATATAGTATAGATTTTTTAAAAAAAATATTTTTATTTGATTTCAGAGGGGAAGGGAGAGGGAGAGAGAGTTAGAACCATTAATGATGAGAGAATCATTGATCAGCTGCCTCCTACTCACTCCCTACCAGGAACTGATCCTGCAACCCGGGCCTGTGCCCTGACCAGGAATCAAACTGTGACCTGGTTCGTAGGTTGACACTCAACCACTGAGCCACACTGGCCTGGCTAGATTTTTAAAAGACTAGTCAGTCTTAGCTCTGAACTATTAAACATTGACTGTTTTATATGTCATTGTATATTTCTAAGTAGCATATCCCCATATTTGTGTTATGGGCATAAAGGGAGATATTTGGTGCTTCCATGCCATAATAGCCAGATTCATCTCAACCATTAAAATAAAGGTTCTAGCAGTATTTTCAGTATGTTCCCAGAAGTTTAAGTTATCTCTGAGCCACTGTTTTTTTTCTACCTTAGTTTAATATTAAAATGTAACATAAGCCTGGCTGGTGTGGCTCAGTGGTTGAGCTCAACCTATGAACCAGGAGGTCAGGGTTTGATTCCTGGTCAGGGCTCATGCCCGGGTTACGGGCTCAATCTCCAGTGAGGGGCAGCCGATCGATAATTCTCTCTCATCATTGATGTTTCTATTTCTCTCTCCCTCTCCCTTCCTCTCTCTGATATCAATAAAAACATTTAAAATATATAATACAATATAGGATAGTAGGTTTTATAGTATTAGCCCCCAAATAAAAAATTTTGATAATTTATGTTGGAAAGTTTGTGTTTATAATATAAACACATATACTTTTTCAGAAAAACTAAACTGTGCTTAACTTGGGGCCTCCTTATCTTATATGTTGTCTATGTCCTACTATGTTGAGGGATTTGGCTCTCTTTTGTTTGTTTATTTGTTTTTAATAGACATTCCTTTGACTGCCTGTACTTATTTTGTTGTGTATCTTCCCTACCCCTACCCTCAGCTTCCGCAGCTACTCTGATCAACATCCGCAATGCCAGGAAACACTTTGAAAAGCTGGAAAGAGTGGACGGACCAAAGCAGTGTCTTCTCATGCGCTAAGCATTGCCAAATGTTGTTTCAGAAAAGAAATCGAAATACTGTTTCTTAATCTTACTGTTGTATTAGTATATGTAGACTCTGAAATGTTGTGATGCTTACCACTTCTGTATTTCTTCCCTACTGCCCAATCTTAATGTTTAACCTTGAATGCTATTTACTCAAATAGCCAGTGAGAAATTAGAAGATGAGCTGTCCATGAAGCTGATCTGACATAAAAGTAGGTAATATGTGAGTGTTCTGATAATAAGGTTTTAATAGTGTGTTCTGATAGTCATGTTCCAATAGTTGTGTGTGCCAAAGCCTCTTCTAACATTGTCTTGTATTCCCTATAAGATAGTAACCTAGAAGTTTGGAGTATTACTGTTTCTCAGCATGCATTAAAATAATCCTTAACTCCAATTACAAATAAACTTGCTGTTAGGGATTTCAGTGTCTGTTTTTCTTTCTTGTTTATTTAAGTTTTTCCTAAGGAAGAGCAAGTTAATTTCACAGTTAGTCTAGGGAAAGGGAACCTATTTCTTACTGAGAAATAGTACAAAATAAAGTTGGGTGCCTGATTATAGCCTTAAATCTAGGCAGAAGAGTTTAGATGTAATGGGTTAGGAAATAGGAAACCATTGTAGGTTTTTAAGGAGGGGAATTACATGAAAGGAATTTTGAAAGAAAATTAACCTAGACTATATAGGCTGACCAATGGCACTTGGGGAAGCTCTGGTAGTAATCTAGGCCTGAGGTGTGTTGAAAGCCTATTCCATGATGTAACTGGAGAAGGAATGAATAAAAAGTTGAGGAGAAATAATAGGATTTGTGAAATGTAACTTCTTTCTTTGAGGTCCAGAAATGGTGAATTTTATATATTCTGTTATACCTAATGGGATATGCCTTCATTATGCTAGTCAAGTAGCATTATTATATTTGACTTCATCTCCTAAAGCAGGGGTCCTCAAACTTTTTAAACAGGGGGCCAGTTCACTGTCCCTCAGACCGTTGGAGGGCCGGACTATAGTTTAAAAAAAACTATGAACAAATTCCTATGCACACTGCACATATCTTATTTTGAAGTAAAAAAACAAAACGGGAACAAATACAATATTTGTATTTGCATGTGGCCCACGGGCCATAGTTTGAGGACCCCTGTCCTAAAGAAAACATGAAGCATTGTGAACTGGGAGAAATGGAGCTTGACAACACACACTAGAATTACTCAAAGCCCTAACTTTTACAGTTTCCATAGATACACTAACAACACAAATGCATTTAGGGAGTCTACGGCACAGTAGACTCATCTCATTTCTCGTCTCTATGTTCTGAAGATACTTCTTCCAGACCGCCAGAACACCTTATCTTATTATCCCCAGTTGAGAGAAAGAGAGAGTTTTCACTGAACAGCAAAGTACATGTGGTTTTGGTAGCCTACATTATTTAAATTAACAATCTCAAGTCTTAAAAGAACCGCATGGGACTAATTTGATCGACAATTGTATTAATCTTCCGGAGAAGGAGAGTTTTTTAAGTAGATGCTCCAGATTTTTTTTTTTATCCTATTAACACTTAGGAAAATGAAAAGAGTAAATGAACCGGGGATCTGTTCTATGACTAATAGGAGTCGTGATTTGGCATGACTCATTATCCTCAATACCTGGGGTGGTATTTGAAGGAGCTACTGAGACCATTTTTTTAGAAGTTGGATAGATAGATATAGATATAGACATTAGATGAGCACGAAAAAAACACAAAGGTATATCATTCTATTTGCTCTTGATTCAACTTGCTCAGATTCTAGTTATAACTTGGATCTATAAAAGGATGAAAGGTTAGCAAAATAACATGATTCAACATAATCCTTCTTATGGTAATGACCAACCATTCTTCTTTGTCACTGAAGACAAAAATATATTTTAAGGTGGAGTCGCTTAGAAACTGAAGTAAACAAGTGCACAGTGAAGGCATGTACACAGAAATGGATAGAAGAAATCAAACCAGAGATCAGTCTGTTCATTAAATTCACATATAAGTGAGATCATATGGTATTTGTCATTGGTTTATTTTGCTTAGCATAATATTCTTCAGGTCCATCCACGCTATCACAAAGGGTAAAATTTTCTTGCTTTTTCAGGCAGAGGAGTAGTCCATTGTGTAAATGTACCACAACTTTTTTATCCACTCATCTACTGATAGACACTTGAACTTCTTCCAAATCTTGGCTATTGTAAAGAACACTGCAATGAACATAGGGGTACATATATTCTTTTAAATTAGTGTTTCGTGTTTCTTCAGATAAATTTCCAGAAGTGGAATCGCTGGGAGACAGATTCATAGATAGAAAGCAAGCAGACAGCTCTGGTATGTGTGTGTAGGGGGATGTTGGGGAGGGTGGAGGGATTGAGCAAAAAAGAACTCATGGATATAGACAACAGTGTGGTGATTGTGGGGGGTGGGGTGGAGGGAGAAAAGGGAATAGAAGGGATAAAATATATATAAAAGGCTAAGCAACCGTCCGACTGGTCAGTAGGTATGACACACACTGACCACCAGGGGGCAGACGTTCAACGCAGGAGCTGATGAGCTGCAGTGACTTGGCAGCAGTGTTCTCAGGTGATGCACCCCGGAACCAGAGAGGAGGGAGCCCGATTTCTCGCACTTCAGGACCCCTCGGGATGTCAGAGAGCCGGTTTTGGCCAGATTCCCCGCAGGCCAGGTTGAGGGACCCCACCTGCCCAAGGGACCCTGCTCCGCAGACGCCCTCCAAGCAGCAGCACTCCCCCAGGGAAGGACTGTGGGAGGTTGGCTCCAGGGTGTGTCTGGCCGTCTCACCCAGTCCCGCCCCACTGGCCACCTAATTAATTTCCTTTCAACGTGCATGAATCCGTGCACCAGGTCACTAGTATGGAAATAAAATAAAATTTTAAAAACCAAGTTCCCAGGTGATGCTAATGCTGATCCTGCTGGTCCAGGGAGTATATTTTGAGAACCACTACCTTAGGGAAAAGAAGAGGAAATGTAGATTTGCAAGGTGAGTGGAAGGCAGACCAAGT